CCAGTCAAGCAATGGGGTTCGCCCTGCCCAGTGCGCTAGGGGTCCCGGAATGCGGCCAACATGTGATTCTAGTGTAGCCCGTAGTATGCAGGGCTGCGCGTTGCAAGCAAGTGTTCCTTCCCCCCCATGCCAGACATATCCCAACCCCGCCGAGCGTCAGCTGCTGTCAAAAGCGGCGCACTGAACACTGCTGCGAAAAAAGGAAAAGGAGGGCCTCGCTTTGTAGGCCAGGAGGGCTTGTGATGGAGTGTGGCATATGAAAGGCAACGGTAGGATGATGCACTGAGCGAACGCAGGCAGCAATGACGTAAACAATCGGAGAACGTGAAATGTTGTGATCGAGTGCTGTCGCTGGCCCTCGGCCTGCTGAAAAGAGGAAGGAGAGGAGGGGAGGCCAGTCATCGAAAGTCTGCGGCATTCGGCAAATAAGTGAATCTTGTGGTCGATGTCGCGGCAGTATCTGCCCCATACTTCCGATGTGTCACGTGCTTCGGAACTGTAAATGGTTATGGTTAGTCATGTGTTTTTGCTGCCGTCGTTTGGACTGGTCAGCTGCTGTTTGGGTTTCGGTGGTGCTTTGAAGATGCGTGGTCGGGGCTTGTACGGCGGTGCTTCCTTGAAAACGAATGTTTTGTTGGAGGTTGCGGGTGTGGATACTGGTGAGATGATGTTCGTATCGTGGTTGGTGTGAGCGTACGGTGTCGATGTATTCGTGGAAGCGCGGGTCCCCGATGTCGTGTGCGAAAATGCGTCCGCGGCTGTTGGTCACGTTGTGCTGCACAAATCCGCCGATCCGGCGTGCGAGTTGAAGGGGGGGTGGGCCGGGGTGGCTCTGCCGGGGTAGCGGGGGGGGGGGGCTTCCACAGATTGGGTTCGGTTGGTCGGGGTTCGGTTGGCCAAAACGGACCCAAACGCTGCCAAGACGAAGCCGCCAAGACGGGCCAAGACGTTTCTGGATCGCCCAAAAATCGATCCAAGACGCCGAACATGAACCCAAGACAGCCCAAGAGGCCGCCAAGACGCCCCCAGAGGCCCCCAAGAGGTCTTCCAAAAGGGCCCCGACTGGCCAAAATCATAGATTTCCCTCGGGAAACCTACAATTTCAGCACGTTCGCCTCTTAGGCCTTCACAGTGTCCACAAGGGCTCAAGGGGCCCTCAACAAGGCTCCAAGACGGCCTAAGAAGGGCTTACGCAGACCCAGGAAGCCCCCAAGACGGCGCAAGAGGGCTCCAGGACGGGCCCAAGAGGCGCCCAACAGGGCTCCAAGACGGCCCAAGAAGGGCCCAAGACGGCCCAGGAGGCCCCCAGGAGGCCCCAAGACGCCCCCAACAGGCCCCAAAAGGCCCCAACTGGCCCCCAAGGACCCCCCAGTGTCCAAAACGGCTCAAGGGGCCCTCAAAAAGCCCCCAAGACGGCCTAAGAAGGGCTTACGCAGGCCCAGGAGGCCCCCAAGACGGCGCAAGAGGGCTCCAGGACCCTCCCCCGGAACTCTTCCCCGGAACCCCCGGGCAACTCCCCGGGAGGGAACGCGCTCTTGGATGTCCCGAGCGGTCCCGGGCGCTCCCGGCCCGTCCCGGCCGTCCCGGGCGCGGTCCTGGGCGGTGCCAGACGCGGTGACGGGCAATCCCGAGCGCGATCCTGGACAGTCCCGGGCGCCACATCTTAATCACCATCACAACCACCATCACCATCACCAGCATCATCATCAGCATCAGCATCAGCATCCCCATCACCATCATCATGATCGGCATCATGGTCAGTGTCATGACCAAAATCATCATCATCATCCTCCTCCTCCTCCTCCTCATCATCTTCATCATCATCAGCAGCATCATCGTCATGATCATCATCATCATCATCATCATCATCATCATCAGCACAATCATCATCATCATCAGCATCGCCACCACCAACACCACCACCATCATCATCATCGTCGTCATCATAATCATCATCATCATCATCATCATCATCATCATCATCATCATCATCATCATCATCATCATCATCATCATCATCGTCATCGTCATGGTCATCGTCATCGTCATCGTCATCGTCGTCATCGTCGTCATCGTCATCATCATCATCACCACCATCATCAACAACAACAACAACAACATCATCATCATCATCATCATCGGCAGCAGCAGCAGCATCATCATCATCATCATCATCATCATCATCACCATCATCATCATCACCACCATCATCATCATCATCATCATCATCATCATCATCATAATCCGAAGCGCCCCGGATCGGCGGCACTGGCCGGAGGCCATTTCAATATGGTGTGTATCGGGAAGTCCGTGAGTGCCTGGGGTGGAAAGTACACTTGTAAGGTGGCGTAGGTCTGCGGTGCAAGTCGGTGTACTGGCATTTCTTGCAGCCACCGCTGTGCCAATGTCTTCGTGGGGTGGGCAGACGAGAGGTATCTTGAGCGACCTCCTCCTCCACCCCCTCCTCCCCTGGGGAGAGGCAGGGCGAGCGCAGAGGCGCCTGCTCGGGCTCTCCCTCGGTGGCGCCGGCCAGCGTGGCGTAGAGCTTGGTCGACCAGGGCTCCACCTTCGGGGCCGACGGCGGCGGCGGCGACGGCGGCAGGGGCGTCTTGTGTGCAGCGGGACGCAGGTCGCAAGAGCCAGAACGTACTTTGAGGGGAGGGAGACGCCGATGTCGTCGCTGCCGTCGTATTATCCATCGGGATCATCGGGATAACCATCGCCGTGAATCGGCACAATCACTTCCGACGAGGCAATTGTCACCATTATCGTCAGCGTCACCGCCACTACGGATCTGCCTCGAGGATCGGTAAGGAAGTGAGAGATCTCTGGCTTGCGAGGCGACGAGGACACAAGGGAGATGGATGAGGAGGGGACTGAGGAACAACAGAAGGAGGAGGACGGAAGACGGGAAGACGGGGGAAGGACAAATGAAGGTGGGGAGGGCAGGGGGAGGAGGGATGATGGGGAGAGGGACGCGGCGGACCGTGTTCGGGTGGCGGAACAGGAGGTCCCCGACGGCGACGAGCAGAGACTGACGCAAGGTCATGTCCTCGAGAAGCGCAGAAGCGCCGCCGCACTCGACCTCGCGCGCCCTCCCTTCCTCACTGTCGAGCAGGAGGGAACAAGGAGGCAGACGGACAGGAACGAGGAGGAAACGAGTAGGGAAACGGGCAGGAACGAGGAGTGGACGAGGATGAGGATGGAGTGAGGAAGGAGGAGGCAACGAGGAGGGAACGAGGAGGCGGATGGTCTTAGAGGGTCCCGAGGAACTCTGCTGGTCTCTGGCGGGCTTTGGGCGGGCCGGGGAGCTCCTACTTCATGTACTCATCACTAGTATCCTCCTCCATCTCCTTTCCTCCGTCTACTCCTCATCTACTGTTTGCTTCACCTGGCCCATTCGATGCCCTTGAAGACCCCACAACTGTCACAACCTCTTCAAAATATGAAAGCTGTCGAAAGCCTCAGGCACATCAAAAACATCGTCTCCCCATCAGGCCCCACCAGAACCGACTGAAACCCCAGATAAGCCGCGACAGCCGCCGACCATTCCCGAAACACCTTGCAAAACCATCCCCCTGCTCCTCCTCCTCCCACCCTCTTCATCAGGCCATCGGGCCCCTGCGCATCGGCGACCACTAGGCGATTGGAGGCCGATGCATTCCCTCCCCCCGAGCCTGTCCCCCCTGCAGGGGGGACAAGCTCGTTGCCCCTGAAGGAAGGGAGCAGGGAGGAGGGGCTCGTCCTCCCTCATGTCTCCTCCTCCTCATCTTCCGTCTCCTCTTGCACCTCGTCCTCGCTCCGCTCCGCACCTCCTCCCATCCCGCCCCACCTCCAGGGGCAATCAATATCGAATCGCAAAATGGAACGAGGTCGGACCGTGCATCGAATCGGCCCGAGTCGGACGAGCCGCGCCACGGTGCATGACAACAGGAGTCAGGCCCAGACATGTGAAGTCCTCATTGTTACAATAAGGGGTCCCCAGAAGTCCTGACCCCTTCCCCAAGCCTGGTGTTTCATCCTGAGTCGTTCTTGGAGGGCAACTGGGTCCCGTAAGGGCCCCTAGAGGCCCAAGACGGGCACAGCTCCCCCTGACGTTGCTTGCGGACGGCACGCCAGGCTGCGCTCGCGCTCCCTCAGAACCGGCGGAACGCGGCGGCAGGCCAGGACGCCGCCGCGGGCTTCATCGTTCCTTTCGCCGTCGTGCCCCTCGTTTTTCATCCCCCCTGCTTCATCCGTACACCTCCACCCTCCCTTCTCCCTCCCTCCCTCCCTCCCGCCTCCTCCTCCTCATCCTCTTCCTCCTCCTCCTCCTCCTCCCTCCTCCTCCTCCTCCTCCTCCTCCTTCTCCGTCTCCTCCTCCTCCTCCTTCTAGATAACTCCTCCCTGTCGCACCCCGAGGCTGGTCGAAAGGGCGGGCCAGGCGTTTCGCCCGAGAGACTTCCTCACCATTCATGATCCAAAATATTACGATTGGCAACCGTGTAACAGATGGAGGGCGGGTCCTTCCAAAATGTGGCTCTCGCCTTAGCGCACCGCACATTCGCTTCAAGGAATGAAAAGACTTTCACGGGTTGAGGGCGGGTGGTTTTCAAACTGTGGCTCTCGCCTTACCGTCGCGCACAGTCGTTTTAAAACTTTGCAAGAGACTGCGGGTGGTTTTCAAAATGAGGGAGCTTGGAGGGAGGGTGCGTACCAACATCATTGATGAATCCTGGGTTTACACTGGTCCTCCCTCTTCCGCCTCCTCCCCCTCCCCCTCCTCCTCCTCCTCCTCCTCCTCCTCCTCCTCCCCTCCCCTCCCCCTCCCCCTCCTCCCTCCTCCTCTCCTCCTCCTCCTCCTCCTCCTCCTCCTCCTCCTCCTCCTCCTCCTCCTCCTCCTCCTCCTCCTCCTCCTCCTCCTCCTCCTCCTCCTCTCCCTCCTCCCTTCCAAATGTTGCCAGTGTAGTGCTCTGCAACGACCACCCACTTGGTGGGCGGTTGCATGTGGCCTGGGGCTGGGTGTACGAAACTCCCGCTTTCAGTATCAGTACGACGTTAGGCGTGCGGTTCTGAGGGCGGTGCGGCTGTCATGCCAGTCAGCAGAATGCGCTCCTCCAAAAGCCTTGTGGTCGCGCCACATCAACAGGAGAAGGCTATTTGGCTATCACATCAAGGTGATCTCATAATAACCTCAAGACGACCCCAACACGGCCCCCGCGATCTTCGGCCTTGTTTTACTTCCGCCGGCTTCCGCTGGCAAGTGCCGTGTTGCAACTGCAAGAAACTGTCATTGGGCCGATGTATTTGACCAGGATGCGCCCCGGTCTGTGGCCGATAGTCTCACAGCAAGGCCGAGACAGCACGGCGGTCTGGCTCTGGGCCCGATGTTTTATCCTCGATGGAAGGTTCCAGTTCCCTTCACTCAGTAGTCACGCATAATCATTCGCATTACCCTCCCTACTCTTTTCCTCCACCCTCCTCCGCAGCTCGATTGTGCGCATCTTGCCAACCCATCGAGAAGTCGCTCGACCCCGCTCCGCGCTTCCTGCTCCTGTCTTGTCGGATTGCCTTTCGCACACCGAACGGTGGGGCAAGCATTGCAGATGCAGTGTGCAATTCAAGCCCCCTACAGCCAGAACCCCCTGTCACCATAAAAACTGCCCCCCATCCTCATGAAATTGTACCCCTCCGCTTCCGGCGAGAACTCCCCTCCACCCTCCTACGCACCCACCCTCGAAAATCGGAGGGCGAGAGGTTGTACCCTGCGCACTGGCGGACGACGACGACGACGACGTAGCTGACGACGACACTGACGCTGACGCTGACGCTGAGGACGACGACGAACGACGAACGACGACGAACACGATGACAACGATCCTCACGAAGACGCTGACGACAACGGCACCGACGACGCCGCTGCCGCTGACCGATTATGCACGACGAAGATCACCACGACGCTGACGACGACAACTACGTCGATAAACACGACGAAAGAGGACGACGGCACCAGAAACAACGACAACGGCACGGACGGCGACGACACGATGACGACGGCACAAACAACAACATCGACACCGACGACGACGACGACGACAGCTGCGACCACGACGACGACGAAGACGACAGCGACGACGATGACGAACACGATGACGACACTCACGAAGCCACTGACGACGACGGCAACGACGACGCCGATGCCGCTGACCGACGATGTACGACGACGACCACAACGACGACGCGGACGACAACGCTGACGACGACGACGCTCACGAAGATGTCGTCGCCGTCGGCGTCGTCGTGGTCGTCAGCGCCGTCGTCGTCTGAGTGGTAAGCCTAGGCACTGTCTTCGTCGGCGTGTTCGTGGTCATCGTCGGCGTCGTCGACGTCATGTTCGTCGTGTTCGTCGTCGTCGTGCGTTGCCGCTAGCGGACATTACGTGTAAGCCATTCTCGGATACGATGCGTCGTCGTCAGCATGCGCGTCGTCACCAGCGTGGTCGATGACAGCGGTGCCGTCGTATTGTCGTCCATAGTGTCGTCATCGTCGTCATCGTCAGCGCCGTTAGCGTTGTCGCCGTGTTCTCAGTGTCCGTCGTGTTCGACATCGTCGTCGCGTCGTCCTAGCCGTCGTCATCTTTATCGTGCGTTGCCTTGGGCAGCGTTGTCGCCGTGCTCGTCGTCGTTTGCTGGCGCCCGGCGGGGGGTGGGAACCCCTTTCAGGAGTGGTGGTTGGGGGGGTTCGAATCCCCTTGCTCCACCCGACTTCAAGGGGTGTCCAGGACTTGTGGAAGGCCGTTCAGGATCCCGACGACCCCTCAGGCGCCCACACAAGACGCTCGTCCAAACATGAAGGTCCGAATCGACACCCGGCCCGTTGAAGAACGAAACATTTCAATGGCGAAAGCGGCAGGGCGGGGAGGGAGGGGCAAGATGTCCGATGGGGCGTCACCTGGCTTGCCTTCCCCCCCTCTGCCCCCTCCCCCGCCGTCAGACTGGGCGGCGACATCAGAACCCTACCCCCGCCGATCATCGATTCTCCCGAGCCGGTGGGAGGCGGGGGCGTAGGTCTCGGATCACGCCACGCGGCCGACGAATTCCGAACCATACGCCCGCCGCACATCGAGTTGCCTGAATGGTTGACCGCCGAGGGTGCAGTCGGACCTAGGACATAATAACATCCTTCCAGAACATGAGACCTTCCGCCGGCCAAAACACGCAGAACCAAAGGTACCCTCCCAAGGATGCACAAGAACATCCAACAAACACGAAGAACATGAGGGTACCCTCCCCGAGCCTACCTCGACCTTACAACTCGGTCCGACGGTAAGGATCAGACGTCGCCGCCGAACCAGGCGCCGCTAGCTCGAGGACGCGCCGCGCGCGAAGCGCGGCCACCTTCGCGCGCCACTGTGCCGCCCTCCTGTGTGAGAAGGCCGCGGCCCCCCCAGACCGCCAGGCGCGACGCGCGGTCACCTTCGTGCTCCTCTGGAGGACGAGGACGAAGAGGAGGACGAGGCAAGGCTCCTCCGACCCAGATCCGCTTAAACTCGGCCCCCGGGGCCCATCCCGAGCCGCATCCCGAGCCGCGCAAACCTGTGGCTACCGCGGGGGGAGTGAGGGCCAAAGGCCCAAGAGCAAACCACGGCTGTTGGTCACGACGCCGCCCGATCACTCGGGCTCCCTCCTCCTGCCTCCGCCTTCTCCAACACCCACCCTCTCATCCTCCTCCCCAGGGAGGAGGAGGGAGGAGGAGGAGGAGGAGGAGCAGGAGGAGGAGGAGGAGGAGGAGAAGAGAGAGGAAGGGACGGGAGGAGGACGAAGTCGAGGAGGAGGAAAAAGAAGAGGGTGGAGGAGAGGTGGAGGTCTCTTCACGAACGGAGTAGGCATGAGAGGAAGAGGCAAGAGGAAAGGAGGAGGGAGGAGGGGAGAGGATGGAACCCGGGGGGACTGGGAGGGCATGAGTGGCAGGCGGAACGAAGGGGAGGAAGGAGAACGGAAGAGGGCGCCACGCTTCGGCTCGAGCGCGCGTGTGCGCGGCTCCGCGCAACGACAGTGGCCGGGGCGACCTCCGCGGCGTCCCCGCCGGCCAGCACGCTGGAGGCGGTCTTTGCTGTCGTCGTCGCCATCGTCCTCGTCGTCGTCCTGGTCCTCCTCCCACGCCTCCTCATCAACTTTCTTATAATCGTCCTTTTTCCCTCCACCGCGTCCTGCTACCGCTGCTACTCCCATCTTCCTCCAGATCATCCACCCCTTGTTCCTGGTCGTGCTCCTGCACTTCCTGCGTCTCCTCCCCCATCCTTCTACCTCCTCCTCCTCCTTCCTCCTCAAACTCCTCTTCCTCCTCATTCCTACCCAAAGTTCTTGTATTCCGCACAGTCAGCCTGCCCTCCTCCATCGTCCCTCGCACTCGTGCTCCTGGTCCTTTTCCTGCTCCCTCCTCCTGCTCCTCATGCTGCTGCTCCTCGTCCGCCTCCTCCTCATCACCATCACCATCATCATCATCATCATCATCATCATCATCATCATCATCGTCATCATCATCATCATGATCATCATGATCATCATGATCATCATCATCATCATCATCAGCATCATCATCATCATCATCATTTCACCAGCATCGTCATCATCAGCATCAGCATCAGCATCAGCATCATCATCAGCATCATCATCAGTACCAGCATCATCGTCATCATCTTCATTCTAGCCATCATGAGCAATATCATCACCATCACCACCATCATCATCACCACCACCACTATCATCATCAACACCATCAGCATCCGCATCATCACATGCATGGCCATCATCATCATCATCATGACGATTTACTCGGCCAGTAGAATGATATCCCAAAGCGATACATCACAGGCTTGCCACCAGTCAGCATAGAATTCTACTGCTCTATGTCCCAGGGCGGGTCGGGTCGGGAACAACAGAAGGCTATGAGCACGGGACGGGCGAGGCACGCGACGCTCCTGCTGCCTTCCCCCTACTCGTGTCACAGTACGGCCCCCGTGTCGTCATTACTGCGCACGCACTCTCATGACGATTTACTCGGCCAATAGAATGATATCCCAAAGCGATACATCACAGGGTTGCCACCAGTCAGCATAGAATTATACTGCTCTATGTCCCCAATCACCATCAAGAAGTCCCGAATCTCAGAGATGTTTTGGCCTCGGGCGGGTACGGGAGGGAGAGGCCGTTCTTGGATGGTCGGTCGTTCGTGCCATCGAACCTGCAACGTGCTTCTGGGCCCACAGGGATCTGAAGGTGCTGGCGATAGCAGTGCAGAGACGAGGAGGGTAATGTTTAGCACGGTCGGTCTTCCATCCAGAGATATCTTTTCCTTCAAGATGTTCGCGGGGTTTTCCTGACCTAGAGCATATACCTGATTTGCCCACACATCTTTGGTTCAGGAAAGAGTCGTCGAGATCTGAGGACATCAAGATGGCGGTCCGCTTCCTGAAGTCAGCCCCAAACTGGCACTGGTCGAACACAACAGACTTAGCGAACTTGGATTCAGCGATGTGCTTCAAAAACGGGACAAGCCAGAGCATAGAAGAGGCAAGGTTCTCGATCATGAACGGTACTCCGTATCGAATAGCTTGCCGAACGAGTTTGCATGTTGCTTTAGCGAGCCGGTTGCCTTCGAGACAGACGTGTTTATCTAGATCCGAGAGGTTGGAAAAGCCCCAAATACACCCAGGAGAACGAACAGCACTCGGCATAGGAGATACTGAATGAGCGGCATGGCGTAGCCACGAATATCCCTTGCACGCGGCCCGAGCGGATCAAGTTCAGGAGTGTTTTCATCACTCCAGACGCAAAAATGTCGATCCCCAGCTCGAGCTCCACTTCTAGCGACGAGATGCCACACCTTGCCACCGCCTTGCCGACTCCCTCGGAACCAGCGAAGATGTCGAGGAAGATGTTGCCTCGCTCCAGCCAGGCGGTCGGGGCGCGCTCACCGTGCCGAGGAGGATGTCTCCAAGGTGCGCCGTGCAGAGCCTGAGGTACTCCTGGACGCTGTCGTCCAGGTTCACGAGCAGGGAGTTGACCTTGCTGGACTTCTCGTACCTGATGAGAGAGCTCATGCTGGCCCAGCGCCCGCGACGCTGGACCTCCAGCTGCGACCTCCTGCCCGTGATGACGTCCCACGACGGGCCCGCGCGCCGAAGGCTGTAGGGGGCGATCCCCAGGCCCTCGAGCTGGCACACCTTCAGCGCCTTCGCGATCATGGCCCCGAACTCCGCCTGCGTGAAGCCCCACAGCGGGTCGTTCGACCCCTTTCCCTGGCGGTGCAGCTCGAAGAAGTGGTCGAGGAACTGCAGGTTCTCGTGGTCCATCGTCACATTGTCGTCGTAGACGCCCGTCTTGGTGGGGCCTCCGATGCTGTCCGAAGGCTCCAGGATCAGCGACCACTTCTGGTACTCTGGTCCGTAGCCAAGCGCGGGTGGGACGACGTCCCGAACGCGGAGCCCACACAATTCCCCTGGCCGCAAGTAGGCGCTCATCGCGACCAGCACGGCTACAGCCATGTCCGTGCGGCCCAGGAGGTGGAGAGCCACAGCCAGGCCACAGATCGTCGGGTACGGGGGTGGCAGACGGCCCAGCGCGGGCCTCCGGCGTCCCCAGGCCTTCAAGCATCTCTCGAACCTGGCCAGCGGCTTGGTGTTGGGCCGCTTCAGGTTCGGGTGGTAGTGGAGCACAGCAGCCTTCAGCTTCTCGCCATCGTGCTTCTTCCTGCCCTCGAGATACGCCTCGTCCGCCCAGTCCAGGAGGGCCGTCTCCAGCGAGTCCAAGGTGCTGACGTTCAAGCCCTGGCGGCGGGCGCACTCGTAGAACTCCTCGATCCGTCTGTGGTAATCCTCGATCTGGACCGGCTTCACCGCCATGCTCTCGAGGTAGGAGAGGCCTCCGCTGCTGGCCGACCGCCGGGCGGCAGCCAGCCTTGTCGAGGTTGTGACTCGCGATCTCCGCGAGCCGCCTCGAGGCTCGGCTCGCATCGCCGGGGGCCGGGCCAGGGTCGCCTGCTCGGATGGTCCTGACCCTGCGGCCTGTGGCGACTGGCCGTCCTCCAGAGGCACAGCTCCGCGCACTCGAAGGTCGGGGCGACCCAGATGCATCGCCGGCACCGCCTCGATCCGTTGCGCCACGCTGCGTGTCGCAATGCCTGTCGTCGCTCTGCGTTTCGCTGCAGGCGCCCTCGATACCACGCCCGCCATCAGGATGAGGGAGCCCAGGAGGAGGGCCCCATGCATGGCCCAGAGCAGCAGCCGCAGGTTCCCAAAGCCGCGAAGGCTGATCAGCAGGATTGACCTCCGACGGGATCCAGCGGCACTGCACCCGCAGCCCAGTGGCGAGCTGCAGCGCGGCCATCTGACGAAGCTGGCCGAGGAGGGCTGGATCGCGACAGCGGCCCTTTTGCATGGCCAGCGCGAATGACATATTGTCCACCAGCATGAGCACCTTGCTGTGCCGCCAGCGCCCACACCGAACCACGTGCTTGAGGCCGAGCTTGGCGCCTCTCGCCTCCTTGACGTGGATCGCCCCCTCGTGGCTGCCGCAGGGACGCTTAGCGACCACGGCCCACCTCGAGCCTCTGACCGAGGTAGGCGGAACGTCGGGAAAGTTCCCGATGGCAAGCCAGGTGCCCTCGCTGACGCCCGCCACGAGGTTGCCGTCTCTGTCGATCGGCGGGTCGGCGTGGTCGTACCCCGCCAAGGCGACTTCACGGTGCTTGCGTAGCGGGTCCTTCTTGAACCTCCAGCGCTCGTCGTAGCTGCCAGTGATCCGTATATCTTGGGAGTCCCACTCTGCCGCACAGACGCCCAGACCAGTATCGCAGGCATCCGTCGCAACCACCTGGTCGAGCCAGCCCGCCCCGAGGTCGGCGTAGACCAGCGGCAGGATGGCGGCGGCGATGAGGAGCTCCCTCTTGACGCTCGGCCAGAGGTTCTTTGGCTCCCCCCCGGCCGCCTCGGCAAAGGCGAAGGAGGCCGCGATGCAGGATAGGCAAGGGCACCGAAGCAAGAAAGCAAAGCATAGGTGCCCAAGCATGGCTCGCATCTCCCTCCCAGTGCAGCGCCCGCGTCGAACAAGGGCATGTAGCCCAGCGTGCAGTCGCCACGCCCTGGCGGAGGACAGCCTGACCACCTTCTTGTCTCCATCGAGGTGCACTCCCACGATGTCCAAAGAGGTGCTGACCTGCTCGATCTCATGCACGTGGAAGCCTGCCTGCCGAATGCCTTCGAGAGCCTGACGGTGCGTGGCCTCAACTTCGGCCTTGTCACAGCCGAAGACCCCGAAGTTGTCGACGCATGCCAGCTGAACGGGCCCCCCCTCAAACGAAGGAGGGGGGGTGCCGTCGCGAAGAAGGCGAGCTGGAGGAAAACCAGCCCGCCGCAGAAGCTCCTCATGGACAAGTTGGGCCGCCCACATTGCCCACGAAAACCCCATCGGTAGTGACTGCAGAGCCGGGTAGATGAGCTCACCTGGACCAACCTTGACACCATTGATGCCCCCCACTCCCACCGCCGAGGCACGGACCGCTGGTAGAGCAAACTACGGAGATAACTCCTCATCGATCCTGAGCTCGTGGAAGTAATCTTTGATGTCGAAGCTGGCCGAGAAGATGGTCTGGTCAGAGGCGCACTCAAGACGGCTGAGCGAGTCGCCAGTAGCAAGCTGTATTGAGTCTGGGATGTCAAATCGTATGTTGGTCCTTCGTGCATCGCATATAAGTCGTAATTCACCGCTCTTTTTGCGAACAAAGAACAAACCCACCTTTTCTTTGTAGGTTCGAGTCCAGCGTACCAGTCCCCTGTCACGCAGATCCCGACAAAAACCCTCCCACTTCGCAGGCTGTGCCTCCAGCACTGGGTCAAAGTAAAGGTTGGGCAGTCCCTCGTTCTTGATGCGCAATGCATACTCCTCGTCACTGAGAAGGATGGTGTCGCTAAACCGCTTGAGCTTGTGCGGCGCGTCCGAGGGCAGGACGTTGTAGATGTCCACCCCGCGCAGGTCGCGGCTCGGCAGAGATACTGAAGCCGAGCCAAACAGTGCAATGTTCCCGGCACACTCGCTGT